AAAACTTACAACCCCCCTCCCTGGAGGCCCCACCAGTCCCATCTCCCCACTGCAAATCCTAATGATGTTTGTTTGTTTGTTTGTTTGTAGTACTGTGCACCAGACCTAAGGCCTCATACATGTTATGCAAGGGACCCGTGATGGCTTATATACACTTGGTCCAGGGAGTGGCACTATTAGGAGGTGTGGCCTTGTTGGAGTAGGTGTGTCACTGTGGGTGTGGGCTTTAAGACCCTAGCCCTAGCTGCCTGGAAGTGAGTCTTCCACTAGCCGACTTCAGATGAAAATGTAGAACTCTCAGCTCCTCCTGCACCATGCCTGCCTGGATGCTGCCATGTTCCCGCCTTGATGATAATGGACTGAATCTCTGAACCTGTAAGCCAGCCCCAATTAAATGTTGTCCTTTGTAAAACTTGCCTTGGTCATGGTGTCTGTTCATAGCAGTAAAACCCTAAATCAGGAACTAAGGCCTCGTGTGTGCTAAGCAAACACTTTATTTTTTTTTTTTTTTTTTTTTTTTGGTTTTTCGAGACAGGGTTTCTCTGTATAGCCCGGGCTGTCCTGGAACTCACTCTGTAGACCAGGCTGGCCTCGAACTCAGAAATCCGCCTGCCTCTGCCTCCCGAGTGCTGGGATTAAAGGCGTGCGCCACCACCGCCCGGCTGCAAACACTTTATTGATCCACACCCAGGTCCTAATCTGTTTCCAGTTCTATAAATCTCTCAAGGCACCATCCAATACGCTACATTTTACTTATTCATGGCTCCCACTAGACCATGCTACCCACAGAGGCGGGAGTTTTGCCTGGTTTGTTGCTGTTTTTACTGTGGCATCCCCAGGCCTAGAAAGGTGTATGGTGAGAGTCCACCAAGCTGAGGGAGAGTACTTGTGTGCCTGTAGCTCTCAGAGTTTTGCTAACACTAGTAAAACAGTCACTGTGATCTCACCAGTGATATTTCATTATAGTCTGGCCATATCCCTCTGAGACAGATAGAATATATTATGATGTTTACTTGACAGAGTAAAAACATATAAGTGATACTACTGTCTGCCTGTGAGCTCAGATGTCAAGGCTGGGATACAGTCCTCAGTTTTATACTGTAGGCTGACCTGGAACTCACTGCAATCCTTCTTGCTCAGCTTCCTAATTGCTGGGGTCATGAGGATAATTCACCATACCCAGTGTTAGCCTCATTCGTGGTCCAGGGATCTTTGGAGAGACCAGAACCTAGAAAAACTCTGGCACTTGGGAAACATTTTGTAAATCAAGTTCTGTTGGCACACAGCTACATTTGTCCGGGACATATCTGTGACTGCTCTAAGTTACTATAGCAAGGCGGGTAGCTGTGATAAACACCTTGTGGTCCTCGAGGCTAAAATATTCGCTTTCTGCCCTTTACACTAGCGCTCTCTCTCTGCTTGGGGAGCTGGCCCCCACCTGTGGTCCATATTCAGAGGTACCCTAAATATAGTCCTTTACGTCAAAGTCAATTCCATACTGATGCCACCACATAATTTTTCACTATGCGGACACTTATGATGATACAGAAGCGGTGGTGCCTGTGGAAGTTTCCTGAAGCTGCAAAAACACATGACCACAAATGACCCAGGAGCTCAAAGAACAGAAATCCATTCATTTTTTGTTCTTTGCTGAGACAGGGTTTCACTAGTATCCCTGGTTGGCCTGGAACTCACTATGTAGAACAGGCTGATCTCAGACTCACAGAGATGAAATCCATCGGCACCAGCCTCTGCCTCTGGGGCTAAAGGTGTTAGCACCAGCGAGTCAGAAACCCAGTTCTATGGTTCTGGAGGCCAGAAGCCTAAGTGTCTCTGGGCTGAGGACCCCTCGAGAGGCACCAGAAGACTTCCTCACCTCCGTGTACTCTCCTTTCCCCAAACTCTCTCATTGTTCTTTTAGATGGTCTCATTCGCTCATCCAGGCTGTCCTGGAACTCATGGTAATCCTCCTGCCTCAGCTTCCCAATTTATGAGATTACAGGTATGAGCTACATCTGGTCTTCAATGTATCTTCGTGTCCTTGTCTCTCCCGTGTCATCTTCTATTCTATCTCCTGACACTTGCCGTTGGATTTAGGAGTCTCTTGGACAACTCAGGATGTTCTTGAGAGCCTTTGTTATATCTGTAATGTCTGTTTCCAAGATTCATGTGAAGCAGAGGCAGGGGGAGCAGGGGTTCAAGTTCATCCTCAACTCTGAAGTGAGTCTGAAGCCAGACTGGGACACCTGAGTCTTTGTCACCTCAAAAAAACCTAAACAAAGCCCAGGCTGGAGAGGTGATTCAGCGGTTATTCTTAGTGCCTATGTCAGGTGGTTTACACCTGCTGTGTTTTATAAAGAAGAAAAGGAAGCCAGGGATATGTTTGGTGGAGGTGCGGTATGGTGTGGGGGTGGGGGTAGAGGTGCCTCTGTGGGCCCATGCTGAGGCATCCCTTCCCCCTGAGGTACCAGCCATAGGACAGATATAGTATGGAATACAGTTTGGGAGGGAAGTTGAGGGAGTAGTAGAGACAGAGAAAGGCAGAGAGAGAGAGAGAGAGAGAGAGAGAGAGAGAGAGAGAGAATAGAGGAGTAGAGGTTGGCCATGAACACGTGGAGAGAGAGGGGGGAAGGGAATGGGGAGAAAAGGGACAGAGAGAGGAGAGAAGAAGACAGTGAGGAGGGGACGAGCAGCCCCTTTTATACTGAGTCAGGCACACCTGGCTGTTGCTAGGTAACCATGGGGCAGAGCCTAGAAGAAATGCTAACAACACCTACCTACAATTCCAGTTTCAAAGGATCCAGTGTCCTGTTCTGGCCTTTGCAGTACCCACATACGTGGCATACATTCACACAAACACACAGCCATACAAATAAAAATAAATCTTTTAAAACAAAACAAAGACCGGGAGAGGTGGTGCATGCGTTTAATCCCAGCACTCTGGAGGCAGAGACAGGTGGTTCTCTGTGCGTTCGAGGTCAGCCTGGTCTATAAAACAGTCTAGGACAGCCAGGTCTGTTACACAGAGAAACCCTGTCTTGGAAAACCAATTAATTAATTGATTAATTAATTAATTAATTAATTAGAAATCAGCAACAGTGCTGTCTGGGAATCTCCAGAGAACCATAAGAAACTGATGTGGGATAAAGCTACCTCCATAATGTAGAAGATATTTATGCCCGTGGATAAAACAGGCAGGTTATTCATGTGTGGGGGTTCCTACATACATGTGTGAATGCTTGTGTGTGCATGTGTGAAGGGTGCAGAGGTCAACACTGGGTGTCTTCCTCAGCCAGTTTCCACCTCAGCTGCTCTCTGTTTTTGAAATGGGGGAGGGGGGTCTTGCAATATTGCCTAGGCTACTCCCAGCTCCTAGGCAGAAATGATCCTCCTGCCTTAGTCTCCAGAGCCGTTGAGATCTCTAGCTTGTGCTACTGTACTTGTTGAAAATGCAGATTACAAAGCACCAATGAAAAGGAATACGTTTCCAAGGAAAGCTTGAAAACACGCGGTAAGTACTAGCGCTGGTTGTCTGTTGGTGTGATTTGGGGGTAAGCTATTACTTCTTTGCACCCACAGGCTGGCCGAGCAGATCATCTCTTTCATATGGAGGAAAACGGTCCTTTCTGGGTTGAAATAAAAGACTGTGGTTTGCCAGGCAGGGGTGGTACATGCCTTTAATCCCAGCCCTCAGGAGGCAGAGGCAGCTATATCTGAGTATGCCAGCCTGGGTTACAAACACAGCAGACTGGGAACAGTGAGAGCGTGGGGAGGGCTTGTGTTGCAGGAGAGTCCACCTTGTGGGAAATGATGGAAGTACAGCCAAATCTTCCGATGGGCATAAACCCTTTTCTGATGCTCCTCTCGGATGGCACTTCTGATGCCAGAGGCAACGTGGAGTTCCCCCGACATGTTTGATCCTGAGCCGGGAAGAGTCCTGGCCATAATGATGAGGTTTTGTTGAATTTTTAAAAAATTGGTTCTCTTCAGTTTTATATCTTTCGAGTTAAGTGTTCTCTTTGACGCGTCAAGTGGCTTTTTGGCTTCCAGAACAACTGTAGCACCTCCAGGTCATGGAGGCAGAAAAACCTGATTCCTGGAAAACTTTGGTCAGTCTTTGTCCGCTCTAATCTGGCTCTGATAATGGCTCCTCCAGCTGCTGACTGATTTCGGGCTGGGTGGATTTTAATCACAACCTGGATGTCATGACCGGTTCAAGCCTGTCTCTAGTATCCTGTCTTCCACTAAGAGTCTGCGTGTATGCCTGGGATAATGCTGAAAATCAAGCACAGTTACTGCAGTGCAGATAATGACCTCTTTGTTGTTTGTTTGTTAGAGACAGGGTTTCTCTGTGTGTATCCTGGGCTATCCTGGAACTTGTTCTGTAGACCAGGCTGGCCTCCAACTCAGAGATCCACCTGCCTCTGCCTCCCTACTGCTCAGCCCCGCACGTCAGGTGGACTTTATAAAGGAAAAAACAGGAATGCTAGCGTTTTGTGGCTGTTTTTCCTTCCTGAGTACTTTGGGCGCTTGGCGGAGAGGGATAGCAACTCTATTCTACTTCAACCTCTGAACGTCACATCCCAGAACCAAAACTCCTTTGATCAATTTTCCCGCAGTAAGAGCCAAATAAGCACAGTAGAGAATTAGAGATCGATCCCGTGTGTTCTTGAGCAAAGCAGGTAAGAGGTTTTTTACCCTCAACCGGGTCCGGCTTGTCACGTGACTTCTCCAGCCCACGCTCCGGCCATTCGCAATTCTGCGCCACTTTCCTCCAAGTTGTCATGCGCTGGTGTATTGCATCAAGCCTGCCACCAGACTGCCTACCCCGCCACCCGAACGCTGCCAGACTCAGGCACCTCTGTCACAACAAAGAAGGCCGCAGAGCAAGCTCCGCCCTCGGGGGTGTGACCAAGCGTGCTCCTAGCCAATGAGCGCCAGCGCCTGGCCGCCGCCAATTGGAAGGCAGCGCGGGCTGCAGCGCGGGTGTTCCAGACTCTATGCCGGGCTCGCCGGTACCGGGTGCTGCCATGGGCGGTGGGCCCCGGGGCCTCCGAAAAACTTGGACCGAGCTGCTGGGTAGGTCTTGCTAACACTACCTTCCGACCCCAACCAGCGCCCAGTGCGGTCCCTCCATTCCCCGGGATCCGGGTTTAGATCCCAGCGTGGCGCAGCCCCGAGAGTCTGCAGTCCTGGGCTGCTGGTCCTCATAGGGCCATGGGCCCCAGGCTTTCTGGTTCCGGCCGCTTGCTGCAGCGGCAGATGACCGTCCAGATCTTGGGCATCTCTCTCTGGACCTTCGCGCAGCGTGTCACCCTGTGTACATTGCGCTGTAATTTTCTGAGCAATTTTTTTTTAATCTCTTTAGCGGGCAGAGTCAAGAAGCCAAAATATGATCCTGAAAGGGAACAGAAATTAAAGGATTCCGCTCTGAGGCTCCTGAGATACCATCAAAACATGCATGACCTTTTGCTAGAGGTAAGAGGAAGTTGGCGTGGCTGAGCAGGTTGGGTGCTGTGAGTCAAGCCAGATCATAATCTGTTTAATATCCTTCTAAGCCTGTGTACCTGGTGAATAACTGGTGCCTGCAAACCAGGTGGGAAGAAAGCGGAGTGTATTTTATATGTTATGTCTTTGGAGATGAAAGTAGTTGGGTAGTAAGTAAATTTACTAATTTTTATTTTATTTTTTTATTTTTTTATTTTTTGGTTTTTTGAGACAGGGTTTCTCTGTGTAGCCCTGGCTGTCCTGGAACTCACTCTGTAGACCAGGCTGGCCTCGAACTCAGAAATCCGCCTGCCTCTGCCTCCCAAGTAAATTCACTAATTCTTGAAAGGCTTTAGTAAATTCCTTCTTGGAAAAAGTACTTGAGGGGGCTGGAGAGGTGGATCTGTACAGTCTGATTTTTTTTTTAAAATTGTGTATGAATGAGTGTTTTGCCTGCATGTATGTATGCACCACATGTGTGCCCAGTGCCTACAGAAGTCAGAAGAGGGCATCAGATCCCCTGGGACTGGAGTTATGGACGGTTGTGAACCACCATGTGGGTGCTGGGAATCAAAACTTGGTCCTTTACAAGTACAACAAGCGCTCCTGACCACTGATCTGTCTCTCCAGCTCTAAGGCGCATGGGGGGGGGTGGGGTGCTTTTCCTGGACTGGTGGTCCTGGGATCTATAAGAAAGCAGGCTGAGCAAGCTATGGTGAGCAAGCCAGTAAGCAGCACGGCCCCTCCACCAGTTCCTGCCCCCAGGTTCCCGCCTTGAGTTTCTGTCCTGACCTCCCTGGATGTTGGATATAGTTGTTACATGTGTGTGCTTCTTTGGATCTTTTTTTGTGTTGTTTTGTTTGTTTGTTTTTGGACAGTATTTCTCTGTGTAGCCCTGGCTGTCCTGGAACTCACTCTGTACACCAGGCTGGCCTTGAACGAAGAGATCTACCTGCCTCAGCTTCCTGAGTGCCACCACTGCCCAGCAAGGTGGAGTACAAGTTATAATCTGAAATAAGATTCCCAAGTGGCTTTTGATCATGGTGTTTTTATCACAGCAATAGAAATTCTAAAACACATTCACACACACACACACACACACTCACACTCTCACACTCAAAGATGAATTTAAAAACAAAACAAAACCAAAATAACCAACCAGAGAACCAGACCAAAGGAAACTTGTCCACTATTCGAGCCACACACTGCTCGAGCCTTGAAAGTGATTCTTACTGTTTGGGTTTGTAGGTAGAAGAACCACGGTGTAAAACGGTGCGTCTCGGCGAGCTGATTGGCTGCGACAGTGCCGAAGCTTCCTCCGACCGGTCCGCTTCCTTCATCCGTGAGTTGTCACTGTGCTTTTCAATTCACTGACCTAGAAAATGTCTAAGGAAAAAGTCACGATCTGTTTATAGTACATAGACATCCAGACTCCACCAAACAGTGCCCTTTTTCTTGTAAGTATTATCCCCAGTTACACAGGCTTTGTGACTTGGTTTGGAGTTATTTCCTTGCTTTACCCCCTACCCCTTCAGACATGGTTTCTTTGCATAGCCCTGGCTGTCCTGGAACTCACTCTGTAGACCAGGCTGGCCTTGAATTCACAGAGATCCGCCTGCTTCTGCCTCCCTGAGCCACACCCCAGCCCCTCATGTTTGTTTTTTTAAGTTTATTGTTATTTGATGCACTTAGGGTATTTTCTTTGCCTCTAGCCCTTTAAATGATTTTTTAAAAGGAGGCAGGGTTTGGCTAAGTTGTCTAGGCTGGCCTTGGTCAGTCCTTCCTCAGCTTTCCTGGTAGCCGGAATTACAGGCGTCTGTCACCAGTCCCAGCTCTGATTTCTAACACTTGTGATTGAACTCCATAATGATTACATTTGGATAATTATTGCAATTATTCAGTGATGTGAATGCGTGTCATATGTATTTATTAGTTTTTTAGGTTTTTTTTTTAATGTGTTTGGATGTTTTTTCTGCATGTATGTCTGTGGACTGCATGCATGCCTAGTGCCCGTGGAGACTGTGAAGGGGGTTAGATCCCCTGGAACTGGAGTTACAGACAGTTAGAAGCCACTGCATATGTTGTGGGAATCGAACCGGGGTCCTCTGGAAGAGAAACACCAGCTCTTAACTGCTGAGCCATCTTTCCAGCCTTCTTCTTTTTTTTTTTTTTCTTGATAATTAGTTTTGGAAGTGAAGGAGATCAGGAATGATTTGTTGTAAGCACTGCCTGTTTCTAGACTCTCCAGAACATTTCACCTTAAGGACTGTCGACCACAGACTGGGTCAGGAGCCCGGTGACCGCCGTAGGGCCAGCTTGTCCAGCCACTGCCTGAGTGTACCCATGATCCTTTGCTCCTTTTCAGGTGCAAGGCAGAGTATCTGGAAATCCTGTCCAGTTTGGACTTGAATGTTTGTAAGGTCCTTGGGGGGTAAACTCATCTGTGGGGCTAAAGTAATTAAGGACAAAGGGTGAAGCACAGTGTTGTGGCACTTGTATCCGGTGTCTGAGGCCATGGGTTCGATCCCTGTCTTGGCATGAGGAGCTGAGAGTCTAATCCAGTGCCTTAAGCATGCTGTGTAAACACCCTACCACCTGAGCTACATTCCTAGCCCTTATTAGTATAGTTTGAAAATTATGTGTTAGTAATCTACTTACTCCGGAAGAGCCTTCCTCACAGCATACCAGGAGGTCTGATGAGCTGTGTTCACCGAGCTCCCTTATACGGAGGATGATAAGGTTCCCTCGTATGTCGCAATGGAGCGTATCTGCTGGGGTACAAGATGCGTGTGTATGTGTGTGACTTTGAGTCCAGAGTGTCCTGAGAGCTGCCAATTTAGCCATGAAATCATCTTCATTTTATGTCCGTTTTTCTGTTTCTATTCTTTTTCTACCGTGATGCTACAACTGAATAAGAAGTATTTTTTCAACTTAATTTTTTTTTAAACATTTATTTCATGTATGTGAGTACACTGCAGCTGTCTTCAGCCACACCAGAAGAGAACATCAGATGCTCATTACAGATGGTTGTGAGCCACCATGTGGGTGCTGGGAATTGAACTCAGGACCTCTGGAAGAGCAGTCAGTGCTCTTAACCACTGAGCCATCTCTCCAGCCTGACATAAATCCTGTGTTTTTCGTGTTTTAAGAGAAAGTCATGGCTTTGTTTTGTTTTTAGGCTCTGCTTTTCGGGATCAAGCCTCGAGGCTGGGAGTTCCCGTGGGCGTGCTGTCTGCCAGAGTGTTCGCTCGAAGTGTACAGCAGGTCTGCATGGAACCCAGCCACCCTGTGCTGCTCAGCCCGGAACAAAGTGTGAGAAGCTGGCCCCTTAAATAAGACCTGTCTGTTTTAGCTGTTTGGGAAAAAACGATATTCCTTTAAGACTGCTTTTAGATAATTTACCTCTTTAAAAAAACAGATCGTATCTCTTTTTAGAAGAAGCTGTCTTCCTCACTAGTGATTGCTCAGCATCTGTTGGCACACAATATGTTCTCCCGTCTCACCTTCTGTCAGGAATTATGGAAAGCACAGGTAAGTGTGAAGTTGTTTTGCTTAGGATTTTTAAAGGTTATGTTCTGTTGGTTTGGGTCTATGAATTTTCTTAGGAATTTGGCCAGACATCTCATTAATTGCAGATCTTGACCGGGGTTCATCAGATGCTCCCGAGGGCGGAAGGCGCGCTTCAGTTTTGTGTCTATCCTCCATCAGTGTCAGTATTTGTTAGAATAGGGAACCTGGAGACCCAAGGCCTGCCCTTGAAAGACTTGAGGGAGCACAGTCTCTGAGTTCAGAGTCAGCCTGGTGTACTCAGAGAGTTCCAGGCCAGACAATACCACATAATGAGATCCTGTCTGTCTCCAAAAAGATAAAATCGATCCCATGATAGAAATACTGTCCTCTGACTTCTTGGTATGCTATGAGGAAGGCTCTTATGGAGTAAGTGAATTACTACCATATAAATTTTAAACTATGCTAATAAGGGCTAGGAATGTAGCTCGGGTGAAGGGTGTTTACATAGCTTGCTTGAAGCACTGGATTAGACCCTTAGCTCCTTATAAACTGGGCATAGTGGTGTGTGTGTGTGGTAGTAATCCTAGCACTTGGGAGGTAGAGGCAGAAGGTTCAGAAGTTCAGGGTCACCCTTAGCTACATAGTAAGTTCCAGCCAAGCCTGGACTCCATGAGACCCTATTTCAAAACAAAACAAACTATATTAGTGAGCTGTATTTGAAGCATTTTTTTTTTAATCTTTATTGTGCACATGTGTATGTGGGAGCATGTTCTCCAGCCATGGCATGTGAGCGGAGATCACGGGACAGTCTCTAAGCAGTAGTTTAGAATGCAAGGTCAGAGCGTAGAAAGGATTGGAAATGACTTCCCTGGAGACTCCCGGGAGGTCAGAGCTGTCGCAGACTTCAGAGGAAAAGCCATGCAGAACAGCAAGGGGCATGGATGCGGTGTGACGCGAGCCCTTTAGGCCATGCTGTGACACTTTCTCTGGGTATATGAGCATAGCCTGGGCTGGACGCTCTGTAGGAGGAAGCACACATCGAGAGAATGCTGTTGTGTTTTTCAGAATTCTTTGTTGCTTGAAGCTGTGTGGTGTCTTCACTCGCATAGTGTTGTGAGCCTACAGGAGCTACTGCAGAGGTACTTGACTGGTTGTTCTGGGTTACTCAACACCACACGGCCTTTCTTTATTCAATAGCTGTGTTTCTAAGCTGTCTCTAAAAGCTATTTATTTATTTATGCTATGTATGTATGTATGTATGTGTGTATTTATTTCTGTGTTTATTCATCGTGGGGTGGGAAGTACATACACCATGGCATGTGTGCAGAACTCAGAGGAGGGGCCCATTTTCCTCTTCCACCATGTGGGTTCTGGGGTCAAGTTTTGGTGGTAAGCGTCTTTACCTGCTAAGCCATCTTGCCTGACTGTATATGTCCTTTTTCTTATGAGAACATAGTGGTATTAATGTCTCGTGATGATGGTTTTTATGCATGTATGTAAATGTACATGCTTGTATGTGCACAAGTGGACACACGTTTGTATGTGCGTGTGTGCACACATGCTTGTATGTACGTATGTAAACACATGCTTATATGTGCATAAATGTACACATGCTTGTATGTGCATAAGTGTACAGATGTTTGTATGTGCGTATGTGTACACATGCTTGTATGTGCATAAGTGTACAGATGTTTGTATGTGTTGTATGTGTACACATGCTTGTATGTGCAAAAGTGGACACATGTTTGTATGTGCGTATGTGTACACATGCTTGTATGTGCATATGTGTACAGATGTTTGTGCGTATGTGTACACATGCTTGTGTGCACATGAGTATACACGTGCTTGTAGAAGCCAGAGGCCAGTGTTGTGTGACTTTCACAATCATTCTCCACTTACCTTTGACACAGGGTCTCACTGAACTAGGAGCTTGCCGATTTGGCTAGCCTTGCTAGCCAACAAGCCCCAGGAATCTTCTTGCATCTGTCTCCCTAGCCCTGGGCACAGGGAACGAGTCCCTGACTGAACCGTGATGATTATTTTTAAAAATATAGAAAAAAAAAGGCCAAGAAAGCACTTTGCAGGGCGGAGGCAGGAAGATGGCTCTCTGTAAGTTCAAGGCTAGCCTGGACTATATAGTGAGTTTTAGACTAGCCAGGGCTACATAGTGTGACTGTCTCGAAACAAAATAAAAACCAAACAACAGCAACAAAACCTGAAGAAAGATGGACTTAGGCTTAGAGTGTTTCTGCTGAGTGCGTGAAGCCTGGGTTCAGTCCCCAGCATTTCAGGAAAGAGCTCAGGGGCTCAGGCCTGCAACCCCAGATCTCAGGAGGGAGGACAGAGAGACTCACAAGTTCAAGATCTGGGCTGGAGAGTTGCTCAGGTTAAGAGCACTTGTTGCTCTTGCAGAAGACCTAGGTTTGCTCTCCAGCAGTCACATGGTAGCTGCTTACCATTTGTAACTCCAGGTCCAGGAGATCCGACTTCTGCAGGCAGTACATGCACATGGTCTACAGATATACAAAATCCTACACATAACAGGTTTTTTGTTTGTTTGTTTGTTTTTGTTTTTGTTTTTGAGACGGGGTTTCTCTGTGTAGCCTGGGCTGTCCTGGAACTCACTCTGTGGACCAGGCTGGCCTCGAACTCAGAAATCCGCCTCTGCCTCCCAAGTGCTGGGATTAAAGGCGTGCGCCACCACCACCCGGCTAGGTTTTTTTTTTTTAATTAAATTTAAAGGTAAATATAAAGTCATTAAAAGACAAACAAATGACTTAAAGGTACTCTCAGTTATATACCAAGATCAGGACCTGCCCTGGACTCCATGAGATCCTGTCTCAAAACAAACCAAATAACTAAAAAAAGGAGATTTTCGGGTAAACATGGCTGATAAAATGTATGTACCTGTATTCCTTTCTGAAATCACCTTAGGAGTCAGACTATTAATTTATGTCCTCACATAAATTACAGATGTGCCAAAGCACCTGTATAGAGTTCTGCCTGCATGTATACCTGCATACCAGAAGAGGGCATTGGACCCCATTACAGATGGTTGTGAGTCACCATGTGGTTGTTGGGAATCGAACTCAGGACCTCTGGAAGAACAGCCAGTGCTCTTAACTTCTGAGCCATCTCCAGCCCCCTCATTAGTAAACTTTTAAAAATGATGGTTTTTTTCTTGCATTAGCAGCAGCCAGGCAGGTGCCCTGTTCCTGCCTTGGTCCTTGAGACAGGATTTGGCAGCTGCTATCTCGTTCTTACCATCCAGTGCTTTCTACTTAAGTGACTATTGCAATCAATAAGCAAGTGGATGAAATTATGAGGGCACTGGGACGGGGGACCCAGCCCCTGCTCTTTGTGTCCTCAGCCATCCTGACACGGAAGCCATGACCACGTGGCTCTTCAAGAACCTGCGCTTCCTGTGTGAGCAGATAGGAGCATCCTGCCCGTCCTCCGATACTGTGGAAGCCATGCTTTCTGGTACGTTCATAGCAGACAGGTTCCTGGGGATGATTATTTGTTTTGATCCTGGAAAAGAGAGCAGCCTCTCCATTCCTGTGGGTCTAGCGTGAAAAAAACTCACCAGGTCAGTCATGGGCCTCTCTTTCCTTTCCTTTCCTTTCCTTTCCTTTCCTTTCCTTTCCTTTCCTTTCCTTTCCTTTCCTTTCCTTTCCTTTCCTTT